ATCTCTTAATTCAGTTTGTTCTGGTTGTCCTTGTCACTTTCTTAGTTTATTTTTCATTTAGATTTGTAATCCAGCCCCCACTCCGCTGTCAGAGTAGTCGTTCTCAAATATGAAGTTTGATCATCTTTCTTCATTGGTTAATTTGCCCTCACCAAGTAGAAGTAATCACCACCTTCACAATGCGGGTAAAGCCATTTGAGATTTGATCCTGGCCTTGCCTTGCAGTTCCATCTCTTGTCTCATCCATCGGAAATGGGTCATGGTGGTCAGAACTTGCCATGGCTTTTCCTGTTTCTGTGTTTTAATATATGATGTCCTCTGTGCTTTGGGAAGGCTTTCACCACCTCTCTGAGCATTCTCCACTTACCGAAAGTCAGGCGTTCCTCAGCTCTTCTGCCCTAGTCCTCAGTGGATACCTCTGTAATTGCTATGATCATATCACTGTAAGGAATGGTTTCTCAGTTAACATCTGGCTCACAATTAGACTAGATTCTCTCTAGATTAGGGGTTGTGCCCTGTTCATCTTTTTGTTGTTGTTGGTGGTGGTGGTGTTGGTGCTTCTCTGAACTTTAAAAATTTTTGATATTATTTGTTTTATCATGGTAAGAATATGAGTTACCCTGTTAACAAATGTTTAAATGTACAATAAATTTTTGTTAACTGTAAGTACAATGTTATACAGCAGATCTTAGAGCTTATTCATCTTACTTAATTGATACTTTATGCCTGTTAATTAGTACTTCCCATTTCCCTTCCCCAATCCCCTAGCAATTACCACTTCACAATTTGATCCAATGAATTTGGCTGTTTTAGATACGCTATGTAAATGGAATCATGCAGTATTTGTTTTTCTGTGACTGGTTTATGTCAGTTAGCATAAAATCCTAAAGGTTCAGCCAGAGTTTTTGATAGGTTGACTAGTATTGCATTGTGTGTTCTGTTTATGCATTTATTCCCAGATAGGCATTTGGGTTGTCTCTGCCTCTCGGCTGTTGTGAATTGTGCTGTGACCTACATAGGAATGCTGATATTTCATTGAGGTCTCTATTTCAATTCTTTTGTATATATACTGTACCTAGTACAGTTCTACATTTGATTTTTTTAAGGAATTTCTTCATTTGACTTAAGGAACCCTCATACTGTTTCCTATAGCAGTTGTACCATTTCATATCCTGCTAAGTGTGCACAAGTGTTCCATTTTCTCTACATCCTCACCAATACTTGTTGTCATTTGATTTTTTTGGTAGTAATCATCGTGACAGGTGTGTGTTCTGTTCATTTTAAGCCTCTAGAACTTAATGAAATATTTCAGCAGGGTGCCTCAAACTTGTACTTCAATATGGATTTCACAGTTAACAGTTTCAGAGTACACAAATGTAACTTTATTTCTCTGACCTGAACTTAGCGCTTTTCCATAAGTTGTTTCTCCAAAAGGGCAGTGATGTACCTTTATGGATGGCGGGGGGAGGTCTGGCTCATGCCATTGGTACCTGTCTGCATAGGCTTCATTAGTTGTTGGCATCATGTTTGTGTCTAGACTGAAACCTCTGAGTCCCTTTCTTCTCTGTGTTGGTCTTGTTGGGCTTCCTCCTTCCTGATGTGAGAGTTGTCCAGGTTTTCAGGCCTGGGTCCAGCTACTTCAGTGTCTTTCCCAACCATGTTCCCTGGGACAGGCTGTATGAGACTGTGTGATGCCCCCGGCCCATCCTTCTGGCCATGGCAGCTTCATGAGTGCTGAGCATCTTTAGGAGACCTATGTAATACCACTGAGTTGTCTGGGATTTCTCTTACTTAATCCCTCCTTAATCTCAAGTCTTAGTTTGGGATGGTGAAGAGTAGAAGATGTAGATACCTTTTCAGAAACTTATCAGCATGTTTAAAAGAAAAAATGCTTCTTCCAATGGAAAACTCTGACTTCCAACAGATACTTGCTATCAATTTAAGGGCCTATTTTAGGGTAGAAAGCCACAACTATTCACTGTAACTTTTAAAATGTAAATATTAAGTGATTTTAAAATTAATTACCATGTTTCATATATTTGTAAGAGGGATCACACTGTGATCTTTCACTATTTATCTATAGCCAAGGAC